GGGGGGGGGGGGGGGGGGGGGAAGCCCTGGGCTTGGAGTGGAGGGCAGGAATCAGCCCTGCAGAGTGAGGAGAGAGGGGAGGACGGCAGACTCTCTGGCCTGGAGGGATAATCCTGGGTTTCTGCATCATCAGAAAATTGCATTGAAGGAGCAGTTTGCACACAGGCCTGCGCTAGGCGCCTCCCTCCTTCCTCCTGTAAAATGGGTATATGACTCCCTGGCTCCTTCCTGAGCGGTTCTGAATGAGCCCACCGGGAGGAGGCAGCTGTAGGAGGATGCTGTGCAGCTGCTGCTTGCTCTTGCAGCGTGCGAAGGGGCACGCAGGCATTTTAGTTCGTTTTCCCAAATCCTGTGCTGGGAGCAACATTTTAGTCCCGAGAGTTTTCAGTCCCACACTTAGTGGAGAGCAATTTGCATTCAATCAAAACTGACCCAGCAGGTCCATTTCAAGGCATGTGTCCTGGCTCACGCACCCCCTCACTCAAGGCGTTGTGTAGGGAGGATGTTAGTTGCTGCATTGTTTATAACACCGAAGGCCTGGAAACAGCCTCCGTGTCCGTTGGTAGGGATTGTGGTACATTGGTCAATAGCGGTACATTAAAAACAATATTATGCAGCCATTTAAAAAAGTGAGCCATTTCTGTGTACTGTTCTGGAACATTCCCTGAGATTCTTAAGCAAAAAATGTGGTTGCGGCCCAGCGGGTCCAGTGTGCTTCCTCCTGTACAAAACAAGGCAGCTAGCCAGGCATGCCGGCTGGTTCACCTGTGGGATAGTTCTGGAGGCTTCATAGGGAACCATAACAGTGGTCACTTCTGGGGGATTAGGGTGACTGGGGTTGGGGGAGACTCACTTTTCATTGTGCACCCTGAGTTCGGAATCTGAGAGCACGGTGGTTCCTTAAGGAGCTCAGACTCTGGGGCCCATGGCCCGGGTTCCAACCCTGGCTCTGCCACTTACCAGCTGTGTGATCTTGGGCAACTTACTCAACTACTCTGGGCCTCTCATGTTCTCCTTTATAATGTGGATTCCTATCTGTCACCGTTATTTGTAAAGTGCTTAATGTCTGAGATAGAGCAGGCGCTACATGAATGTTTGCTGTTATTAATTCACTGCCGTTTACGTGCATTCTGTTCTGAGTCAGGAAGCCAGTTAATAGCAGCACAGGCTTTAGGGGTGGAAAGGAAAACAGACACGCAGCCAGTTTATGGCGGGGGCTGAGTAGACGGAAGGGCTGGTGCTGTCCCTCCGGGATGCCTCTCTCCTCCACAGGGAAGTCTAGAAGGACAGCCCCTCATTCCCAATCAGGAGTGCCCGTAGGGAGCGGGAGAACTCTTTCCCTCACTGCTCGGCAGGGACATCTGGCAGGTTTGCTCCAGGGCCCAGGGAGCCACCAGAGGCACTGGCTTCTGGGTGGCGTGAGCCCCCACTGTGAGGCCAGCAGAAGCTCTGCCTCCCGCTCCGAGCATGTGGGATTCTGCCCCTGTCTTGCACCATCGGCCTCTCTGCACCTCTTTCCTTTCCTTATACCCACGTGCTATGGCTGGGTGGCCCCTTGCCGGCTGGCCAACCCCATTGGGCAGGACAGGGAGGGACAGAGAACGAATGGCCTTCAGCGGGGCTCTCGGCAGGGGCTGGTGAGAGCGGCTGGGCTCGGGGAGCCTGTGGTTATTGGACAGCCAGGAGGCGGAAGTGTCTGGCCACCTCCCTGAGAGTTCAGGTGTGATAAACTCCTGGAACAGGGGGGCTGAGCATGATCCTGGTTTTGGGGGCTGGAGCTTCATCCGTAAGTCAAAAGGGGCAGGTGTAGTGTAGCCGGACCCACCAGGCTCCTGAGGGTCCCTGGTATTGGTCAAAGCGAAGGCCAGTGGCGGCAGGGGCTTTCTGGGAAGACAGGGTTATGGTCCTGCAGCTGCTGGTTTTTCCGGGTTAATGATTTACGATGGTGGGGGCTGGGCCCTCCTGGGTTGTCCTGGGCTCCCGGGCTGCTGGGGAAGGAGTGTGAGAGCTGGCGGCTGCAGCGCACAGGTGCTGAGCCGGTGACCCCTCTCTGTTGCTGAAGCTTTGGCCTTGAACGTCATCTAATTAAACTTCTGGCCTTCTTTTCACAGGCGAGCGGCTGGGACGGTGCTGGTCTGAGCTGGACTTTGTCTGATGGCTTCCTCCAGTCCTCCTCCACACGCTGCTACAGGTACCGTACCCTGGGAGAGGGCCACCAGCTGGGGAGCAGGCTGACCCCGGGGGGTGCGAATCTGGCTTCACTGGCAGTTAGCTGTGTACCCTCGGGAAGGTGACTTCACCTCTCTGCCTCAGTTTCCTTGTTGCAACAGAGTGGGCTCCTGACAAGGGTCGATTCTTACCCTGTGTCCCTAAGGTCCCCTGGAGAGATGGGCAGAGCCCGTCTGGGATTGAAGTGTGCCAGGGGACGAAGCTTATGAATCGAGGGCGGGGCCCGAGGGTGGAGGGGACGGGCTGGGCCGTCTCTCTCCATCTGTGAAGGTGCCAAGGTCTGGCCATCCAGTGGTAGAGCTTTCAGACTTGCTCCAAAAACAACAACAAAAAAACCCCACCTCCCAACAAAAGAATACTTATGTTAATACAATTATTTGTTGTTCACCTGAAATTCAATTCTTGACAGCCTGTGTTTTATCTGGCAAGCCAGGCAGTGGGGCGTCAGACACCGCAGGTGGAATTCAGGCCCCGCCTGGGAGGAGCTGGACCCAGGCTGGTTCACCCACTAGGCCCGGCGTCCCGTCCTCTTGCTCCCACTAGGGAGGCAGACAGCGGAGTGGTAACGAGGAGGGCTCTTTCTCAGCTTGACCCTGCCACTGCCCCTTGGCGGCTGGGTGTCTCTATGGCTCCCTGTCATCACCCATTGACCTGGGGATAATGATGACACCCTCCCTTATGGCGAGGCTTAAATATAGGTAAGGCTCTGGCGTGTGGTCATCGATCGCTCAATGAATGGAAGCTGTTACCACTGTGGGGCGCTGACAGGATGCTGCATGCGCTGCGTGTGCCCTGCACGGCGCTGTGTTCTCTGGAGGGTGGGGCTCAGCAGGTGGACCTGCCTTCTCCACAGCACGAGTGGCTTTCTGGGCCCAGCATCCTGGCCTCGCTGGGGTTGGCTCTCCCGAGGACGGGGCGTGTCTAGGAGCATCAAAGGTGTATGTGGCCAGCTCTGGCCATGCCACCTGTCTAGATGGGCAGGAAGGGCTTCGTTCAGCTGTCAATTATCCAGGGATGGGCCTCCTGATTTTTCCTTCTGATAAGCAGTGAGGTCTGATTGCCTGGGACCCAGGAGCCTGGGAATAGCACTGGGGACCAGGGCATCTCCCGATTCATGGCCGTGACTTTGGGTCCCAGGATGTGTCCACCCTGGCCCCTGCTGCCATGGTCACCTTGCCTCCTTTCTCTTACCTCCCAAGGGGCCCAGACACGGAGAGTGAGAACAAAATCATTTTATGATTAAATCTACTCAGTTCTATTCAAGAAATATTTGATGGGCATTTATTGTCCCAGGTCTGTCTGATGTTGCTGGTGACTGTCTTCTGGTCGAGCCAGTCTCTTGGCCATTTTCTGACTCTGAGAGCTTCCTGGATTCAAATAAAATCCAGATTCTCGAAGCACCTCTTGTCGTCTCATAGCTCTTCATTCTTGCTCACGTGTTCAGCTCCACTGGGCCCCTCGATGTTCTCTGCACCTGCTCTGGGCTCAGCCTAGAACACCTCTGCCCACCCGATCCTGTTGGACCTTTGCTCACCCTTCAGTGCTCTGCGCAGGGCAGCCTTTGCCCAAGGCCCCGGCTGGCATGGGCCCCTCTCCTCTCTTTCAGTGCCAGCTCAGTCTCTGGGTTTTATGTTTCTCTCTTGTCTCCTCCGCTTGCCTCACCCCGCAGTGAGCGCCTTGGCACTGAGAGGTCCCATCTTCTGGGCTGGCGTGCACAGGTCATGGTCCAGGGGCTGCCGGGAACAGTTCACTGAAGGTGGGAATGACTGTGTGGATTGATGGCTAACTGAGGCCATTTGTACTCGCAAAAGGAGAAGGTGCAGAAATGGCCTGAGTCCCTGGACATGGTCTGGGCCTGGCCTGTGAGTGGGGAAGGCCTGACCATCTCACCCAGGGGCAAGGACTGGGCTGTGACTCAGGGCAATAGTAGTAGTAATAATAATGATAGTAATGATGGTGATGATGATGCAATGACAGTGATAACGAATAGAATCATCATCATAAGAATGATGCTATTCAGTGAGCACGTACCTGGCTCCAGGTGCTTTATATGCGTTAGTTCATTCATTCCATCCTCCCAACAACATGATAAGGTGGTTACGATTATTGTTCTCATTTTACAGAGCAGGAAACTGCAGCTGGGCGGGTAGACTAACTTGACGCTCACACAGCCAGTGTGTGGGAGAGCTGGAGTCTGACCCAGATGGACTGAGACTGTATTCACTACAGTGATACCGGTCGGGTGCCGGGCATAAAGGGCATCCCTCCCCGCCATTGCCCGCCCAGCAGACTCCAGTGGGCAGGCACCCAGGGCGCTGAAGCCCTCTTGGTCAGGATGGGCCTGCATCCTGGTGCCCAGAAGTGGTGGGCAGGGATTTTTAGTCATTTGTTTCCATATTTTTTAAACTTTTAAAACCACAACCCATAGATAAGACCACAGGAATATATGTGTGTGTGTGAATTCAACAAATACTTAGTATGTGCCTGCCATGTGCTTGGCACTGTGCCAGATGCTGGGGATTCAACAATGAGTGAAATAGGCAAGAATGCCTACTCTCATAGAGGAGACGGACAGTAAGGTGAATGAAACTTGGAGCATGTCATGTACTCACAGGGCCACAGAGAAAAATGTGGCCCCATGAGGGAGGGAGCCCCAGTGTTCCCGTGGGCAGCTCTGGTCAGGGAGGTGTGTATAGTAAAGACCTGAAGGAGGTGAGAAGGAGAAGACACCTGGGGAAGAGCATTCTGGACCCTGGGCTAGAGAACAAAGGTCCGAGGCAGCAGCACGTGTGGCTCATTCATGGTGCAGCAAGGAGGCCAGTGTGGCTGCAGTGGACTGAGCGTGGGAGAGCAGTGGAAGGTTACACACACACACACACACACACACACACACACACGCCCACATATGCACCCACGCACACACACGCACAAAGGCATGCATACACATGTATGAACACACACGAACTGGGATGCATACACACATTACCTGAAACTGAAACAGTTTGATATATCACATTAACTGAACAGAAGCGCAACAAACAATATCAAAAGTAACACTGTGATTTTATGACTATTACAAAATTTAAAAATATCTCAAATAGGCAGTCCATACACAAAACAGCATGCTGTCTGGGAAGCTCCTAGCTGCTTTTGTGACCCACCAGTGGGTGGAGACTTGTTACTTGAAAACCATGGCCCGCTTCCCACGCGGGCCCCGCATTTCCTTTGTTAGCGCATCACCCGGGCCAGGTGTCCAGGGAGCGCACGGCTTCCAGGAGGCAGCGGGGCTCAGTGGGAAGAGTGAGGGACGCGAGTGAAGCCAGATCTGCGTTCAGACACGGCTCCCCACTTATTAGCTGTGTGGCTGTGGGCACTTTCGCTCTGGAAACCCCGTGGCCTCGTGGCATGCGATGGGGTGGTTGTGAGGCTTCAGCGGGGGCTCCGCGGGGCACACTTAAGGCTCTCAGCCGAGATTGTTTCTCCACACCTGCCAAGGAGCTCGTGCCCAGCGGAGTCCACCTGCCGCTGTTGGCCCATGGGGTCCCCAAAGCTCCAGGAGGGGCGGGGTCCCCAGCCCAGTGGCCTCCATCTGGTCATCATCCCGCAGAGGAAGTTGGGGAGGAAGGGTGAGCTCTGGGTTCTGCCGAGGAAAGGGCTTCTGGGATTTGATACATTCGCACCTAACACGTTCTGCTCTGGAGGCCCAGGTCGCTGTGGGGGAGGGGTTTGGATTTTTCTGGTCAGAGAGACTGCTGGGATCGGATCTGTCCATCTGTCCGTCTGCTGGTCCATTTACCCATCTCTGCTCCATCCACCTCCCTGCCCATTCATCCTCCAGCTGTGAGCACCCGTGGACCAGACCGTCCTGTCCTCAAGGATCTCAGGTGGGAGGGGCAGCGGTTACGACAACAGGAAGGGAGAAGCCACTGGGAAGAAGCTGTGAGGTAACACAAATGCCAGGCACTATGCCAAGGCAGGAAAGAAGACGAAAGCGTTGCTGGTCGATCAGCTGTAGGCTCCAACCTGCTATGAAAAGTGGAAAGTCGGCGCTGGGGCACAAGCAGAGTCCCAGGCTGAGCAGATGAGGCAAAGCGAACCTGCTCATCCTCGCCAGCACCTGCCCCGCCTTGAGCAAGCACTAGCCTGGTCGCCCAAGACCGCTGTCCATCACTGCAGTGCCACGACACCAAACTGGGCACAGCGTGTGGACAATACTAGAGCGTGCACACGGGCTGTCGCTGACCCAGGGGGTTCCGATATCACTAGAGGCGTGCCAGACAGACGTATAAGAAGCAAATCGTGCAAAAATTTCCTTTAATGAAACTGGCCAGAGCCCCGTTAATAAATAAATAAATAAATAACCCCCTTACTTACAAAATAGGAAAACAGGAAACAAGACGATGAATAACTTGCCTTCAAGTACAGATGCCCACATGCTCGCCGTGGAGGCTTGCTCTCTGCCCCTCCATCCTCTCCCATCTGCTTAGAGCCCAACCCAACCACGGTCCGCCTCAGGGGCACAGGAGCGTGGGTTTGCTCTGGTCTCTGGGAACTGCGCTCTCACCCATTTCCAGCCACCTCGCCCTTGGCCTAACCCTGAGACCCTGCTGCCCAGCTGGTAACTAACTCCTCCTCCCTTCCAGGAGATCAGCTGGTTCCTGGAGGAGGCCTAGGCCCCTCCCCAGAGGCGGAGGACGACCCTGGAGAGCCCTTTGAGTTTGACGACAGTGACGATGACGAGGACACCAGTGCTGGCCTGGGCGTGCCAGGCGTTGCTCCAGAGGACACAGACGCCCCACTGATCCATTTGGACGCGGCCCCTGTCGCGGGTAAGGTGCTCTGGGAGCCTTGGGTCCCCCCATCCCCAGGCCTCTGGGCTGGGGTGGAGCTCCAGGCTTCCAGTCCTGCCTCTGGTTCCTCTGCTGTCCCCAGGAAGCAGGAAGGGAGAAGCCACTGGGAAGAAGCTGCATTCCGTGGCCTCTCCTGGGAACAAGCATTCCTAGCATTCCTGCAGCATCTGGTGCGCTTTGGCACAGAGTAAATGGAAGTGGCTGGCCCAGCTCTGTCTCCCTCTCCCCGCAGCTTCTCCCAGGGAATCACACCAGCCAGAGGCTGCTCCTCCCAGAGAGCGGGTGGCCTGGGGCGGGAAGGCCCAGATAAGGCTGGTGTTAAATGGCAGCTGCTGGGCTCTTGAGTTTGTCATCGGGGAGAGAGTGGGGACTGGACTAGCAGGAACTTCCTGCAGCCGTGGGGACAAGGGACTCCTTGAGGAGCTGGGGGTGGGGGACAGGCCCGGAGTAGGCCGGGCCTCTGGTGCTGGTTGGAGTTGGGATGTGGGCCATGGGGTGGAGGTGGGGGTGGTGCAGGCAGGACAGGTAGGGGAGCTTGATGACTGAAGAGACTGGGAGAAGGAGGCGGGCACTGCCGGCGCCCAGGCTGGCCAGGCCCTGTCTCCTGCACCACGGGGTGTCCACCAGGCTGGCCCCGGCCTGATGGGGCTCTCCTTCTGCTCTTCTCCGCAGACCCAGACCCAGCGGCCTCCCCGCCCCAGACACAGTAAGTGAGCCTCCTTCCTTTTTTTTTTTTTTGTGGCTGGAAAAAGAGGGAGACTGGGCAGGTGGTGTGGGGAAGGGTGGGGCTGCAGCCCGGATGGCTCAGGGCAGGTCTTTGCTTGGGAGGAACGTAGTTCCAGATCCCCGAGCCCCAGGGAGGAGGTCAGGCCCTAAAACTCATGTTACTCCAAGCCCTGGCTCTGCCCCTCCATAGCTAGCTGTGTGGCCTGAAGGAGTCATGTGAATTCCCCGAGTGTAAGTCTATTCACGTGCAAAATGGAAATAGCAAGTCCTCACCCCATTGGGTCGCGGCTGAGAATTAGCCGACTGTCTGGTATTTGGGCTGTTGTCTTGGCCATCGCTGTTTGTGTTGCCAATACTGGTCTCATTCCTGTGACTGTTGTCAGGGACTCTGTCCTCCAGCTGCGGGCCTGCCAGGGGCAGAGCAGCCTAATGGTTAAAAGCCTGGATTTGGGGTGACTGCCTGGGTCTGACTCCGGCCCTGGCTGTGAGCCCTTGTGTAAGTCACAGTCCTCTGGGCTCTGGTTTTCTCATCTGTAACATGGGCACTGCTTCCCTCTTAGAGCATATTGTTCCGCAAGAGGCCCAGCAGCGCAGCGGGCACCTGGTCACGGCGGCTCCTTTTCCTCCCCTTCCCTCTGGGGTCTCGGGCAGGTCAGCTCTGAGTTACACAGCGCAGTTGGGGGTGGGGGCTGTGGAAGCTGAGGCCTCTCTCAGCCTCTCAGAGCTTCACTCACTGCGGCTTACTGCTGGGGTCATGGTGTTTAGGGAGTCCCCTTCTAAGGGAAGAGTGAGTGGGTTTTGGCCAGGGGCAGCCACCCTGGTGGGGGGAGGGATGGTTGAGACTCCCCTTTGTCTTCCAGGTGGGAGTGGGGGGGATGACTAGTTCTCAGGCAGGTGTGGCCTCGCTGGAGGCCTCAGAGATGCAGATGTGTCCCTGGGCCCCCAGAGCGAAAGACAGTCCTGGATTCAAATCTCTGTCAACACAAGGTCTTGTATGTGCTCGTTTGTCACAGGGGGAGTGGGCGGACCCTGTGTAATTAAGGCCTCAAGTGGGAGCTGGCTGCTCCTCCCTGATTAGGGACCTGAAATGAATCAGCATTTCATCAGCTGGGGAGTTCTGGGATGGCTGTGACCCCAGATGACAGCCCTCCAGGTGGGCTGGGAGGGAAGCTGCCTGGAAACTCAGTCTGGTGGGGGAGGCAGACACTTCGCAGTGGGACAGAGGAGGGTGCCCAGGGAACTGCGACCCTGGCCCGAGGGAAGCCAGGAGGGGATCTTGGCTGAGCAAGTGAGCGTGAATTCACTGGTGGGACAGGGGCAGGTGGGAGGAGGGATCACATGGAGGAAGCCCCTGGGCAGAGGCAGGGCTGTGAGCAGTGAGCATCTTGGTTCTTTCAGGCCACCCTCCCAGAGACCCCCTTCCGACCTTGGGGTCAGGAGCACGGCAGCCTGGCCCGCCTTCTCTATATGTGCCCTGGAGGCCTGATTGTGTGTCTGGCTGGTGCCGGGTGCCACACTGGGCTGACCCGGTGGTTCTCAGAGCTGCTGCCTCGTGCGTTGTTTTCCCCAGCCCACTGGTCAGTCAGGACAGCTGGGGTGCGCCAGGCGTTTCTGAAAGACAGGCCCAGACCACCTGCCACTCGCAGCCCACCCCTTGCCCTAGAGCAGCCCCGCCCCCTTGCACACCATCTCCAGGAGGCACCAGGGCCAGAGCTCTGGAGGTTCAGACCTCACTATCGGGGTGGCTTCGGGCTGCCTGTGAACCTCGCTGAGCCCCAGTTTCCCCGTGAATAAGATCCTGAGGACTAAGTGAAACGGATTGTGGGAAGCCTGAAATACACACGTCGTGTTTGCTCCTGTTCCCACCTCCTGTCCAGCTCGGATGATTCCGGCGCCGTGGGGCTGGAGGGGCGGAGAAGGTGTGCTCGGTGCCCTGGACTCCTGGGCTGGAGTCTCACCCACAACAGGCACGAATAAAGCTCACGCGTGGGTGCCCTTCTGGGGACTGACATTCATGGGATGTGAGACCCCGAGAGCACTGATCACAGTGGGCGTCCTGAGAGGCCTCCATCCCAGCCTCTTAACTTTACAAATGGGGAGGCTGAGGGGGGTGGGGCGGGGGGGCTTGCCCAAGATGCTGGCGGCCTCCTGACTCCTTGCTCAGTGCTCTCCACCCTTCTCCCAGCTTCATTTCCTCCTTCCAGGCCTTCGTTTCCTTCTGTTCCAGCTCCTTCCTGGGCGGTGATTTTCCACTTGGAGTCCTCTGGGAGGTGAATCCATCCAGACCGAGTTCCTCCTCCCTGTTACCCAAGAAAAAGGAAAAAAAAAAAATCTTGATTTTTTAAAAAAATGCTTCCTTGAAGGTAGTCACTAAGCAAACACGGCTTTGACAAAACAAATCTTCGCGTGCAGGACGTTTCACCTCCTGTTACTGCGTTTCCTCCGTGGCCCCTGCCTCAGGTTTGGAAATGGCCTTGGGCTTTGCCTGGCTGCCCACCTGGCCTCCAGAGAAGCTCCTGGCAGTACAGTTAGAGTAACCGCCCAGGCCCGGACAGAGCCGAAGCCTCAAAGTGACCTCCTTCCTACCAGGGCCTCGGAGGCAGGGAGACAGGTCCGTCCTCATCCCCGCTGCCCAGCTGGTGGCAGGAGCGTGGTGGGTAAAGTGGGGGTCTGGGAGGTCAGGCTCTGAGCCACAGAGCTGGCTTCAAGTCTTGGTCTGGGTCACTAGCTGTGCGTCGCTGGGCAAGTGGCTTCCCGTCCCGAGCCTCACTTTCTTAATCAATAAAACGGGGATAGTAAATCTACTTTCTTGCAGGGCTCTGTGAGGCAAACGTAAGTTAATATTTATCCGGCGCTTCGTCTGGCCGGCTTTTGCTGGCTGCTCCAAACGTATTTGCTGTTGTTATTCTGGGTCCTGGTTTAGATTTGGTTTTAGAGGGAGCTGGTTGGGCTCTGCCCCCTGGGAATCGGACAGACCTGGGTTTGATCTGGCTCTCCTCCCTCAGCTACCCCACCTCCAGGAGTCTGCACAGGGGAGGGAATGCACCTGCCAGGCGGGCAGTTGCAAGGACAGGAGAGGCTGAGTGGGAATCCAGGCCCAGGGCTGTTGGGTCTGTCCCTGGCTTTGAGGCCCATGGACTTCCTGGTCCCTTTGCCTGCTTGGCTGGCTTGCCCAGAGGAGGAATGAGGCGTCTATGGGGTAAACAGAGCTGCTGGCATTGCTGGGGGCGGGGCGGGGGGGGGTTATGCTGAGGTCAGTGGGGTGAGGTCCTGCTCCACCACCCCAGGAGTGAGGGTGGCGGGGATTCCGCCTGTCTTGCTGCTGTGTTAAAGCAACCTTCCGAGTGCTCAGCTAACTGGTTGCACTTTTTCTTCCCTTAACAGGACACATCTATTACCATGTGGTAGTAGTAGTAGTAGCAGTGGGGTGAGGTTTAGGGTTGGGCTACCCTGCTCCACCACCCCAGGAGTGAGGGGGGCGGGGATTCCGTCTGTCTTGCTGCTGTGTTAAAGCAACCTTCCGAGTGCTCAGCTAACTGGTCGCACTTTTTCTTCCCTTAGCAGGACACATCTATTACCAGGTGGTAGTAGTAGTAGTAATAATAATAATAATCATAGCAAATAATAACAGTGATAATAATGATCCTGTTTACTGTGTACCAGGCACTGAGCTAAACACCCAGGCCCATGTACTCCTCCTGGCTCTAGAAAGTGGACGCTGTCATTGCCTGCATCACAGGTGGGGACACTGAGGCCCAGGGAAGTTAGGTGGCCAAAGTCACATAGAGATAGTATGTGTTCATTCAGAGCAGCGACTAGAACCGGGGCCTCTCGGACTGGAGGCCAGGTGTTTGCCACCACACTACCCCCCAGGGATGCGCTTGGGGACTCCAGGTGCAAGCCCAGAGCCTCAGACATTGGCTCCTGGTGGGGGGTGCGGCTGGCTCCATATGAATGACCCGATTGTTTGTGTGTTTATTGGAGTAAGAACTTTGCCTGCAAACAGATGCCCTCTAGCTCTTGGGAGAGTCATTTCTGAGCAGTCAGATGTTGTGGGGGGACTGACATTCATGGCACGTGAGACCCCACGAGCACTGAGGAGCCAAGCAGAGTGGGCTCAGTACTGCCAGGGAGTGATTCTGGGGGAGTCCCCTTCTCTGAAAGGGGAGCAGAGTAAAAGCAGCCCCACCCCTCTCACCCACACTGAGGTCTCGTGATGGTAGAGGGGTGAGGAAGTGTCCCCCACCTGCAGGCCAGCCCCACGGGGGCAGCTGGCTGCTGTGTCCTCATCCTCATGGTGTGGCATGGCGCCAGGCACAGACGCCGGTCGAGGACATCCCTGCTGAATGAATGGTGGGTACCGAGGGACAGAAGGATGGGCGAGTGGGGTCCAAAAGGTGACTTTCAGCGTCTCCATCCATGAAAACGAACAGGTCATGAACAGCGTGGACATGGGATCTCTGAACCTGGGTTCTGACTCTGGCAGCCCATGGGGGCAGAGGCCAGCAGGCTTGGGGCTGGGGGCGGTTGAGGGCCCCGAGGCCAAACAGGCAGGTCCCCAATCCTGCTGATGCTGAGGGTGTCGGCTGCCACTTACCGAGTGCTGCCTGCATGTATGTCACCTCCTGGGCACTGCAGCCCTGGAGACAGGGGCCACGGATCACTTCCCTTTTGTAGATTAGGAGCCGAGGCTTAGAGAGTTGAAGTAGTTTCCCACGATCTGGTAGGGCTGGTGGGTGGCAGGGCTGGAGCTCCATCCCTTGGAGCCCGCAGGGTTGGCCTTTCCCGGTGGACTTTGTAGCCAGTGCGCTCACACCAGCCCGAGCTCTCGCTGGAGGAGCCGCGGCCAAAAGAGCGGCCCTGGGCGCCCAGTGGTCGCCGGCTTCCTGTGTTCTCCTGGCTGCAGGCTGCACCTCGTACCCCTCACTCCGTGCACTGCCTGTGGACTCCTGCTTCTTTGCTTTTCCGGCCCCGTTACTG